CCATCCTTGCCCAGGTGGCAAGTGAACCGGTTTTTCTGATGTTCACAGGTCCACTCAAATCAAATACCAAAATAATATGAGAAATCCAAAAAAATATATAAAAAAACTACAACACCTGCTGCAATCTAATCCAGTCCTAATAAAATGCAAATAGACTGGATTGGATCCAATCCAATCCAAATTGAATCAAATACCAAAATAACATGAAAAATCCAGAAAAATATATTAAAAAACTGCAACACCTGTTGCAATCCAATCCAATCTAATTAAAATGCAAATGGATCAGATTGGGTCCAATCCAATCCAAATTAAATCAAACACCAAAATAACATGAGAAATCCAGAAAAAATATATAAAAAAACTATAACACCTTTTGCAATTCAATCCAATCCAATTAAAATGCAAATGGACCAGATTGGGTCCAATCCAACCCCAATTGAATCAAACACCAAAGTAACATGAGAAATTCAGAAAAAATATATGAAAAAACTACAACACCTTTTGCAATCTAATCCAGTCCAATTAAAATGCAAATGGATCGGATTGGGTCCAATCCAATCCAAATTGAATCAAACACCAAAATAACATGAAAATCCAAAGAATATATAAAAGACTACAACACATGTTGCAATTCTATCCAATTAAATGCAAATGGACCGGATCGGGTCCAATTCAGTCCAAATCGAATGAAACATAAAAAAATTATATAAAATTTTAAAATAAAAAACTTATAGAAATATATTAAAACCATGGTTTTTGAGCTGTCACTGACCCAGATGGTTGGACAAGGCAACTGGTACTATTTCACCCTTAATTCGTTGTTTCTTGGCGAAAAAACCATTGCTTGGTCAACAACCCATTGACCCAAGCGGTTGAACCGTCAACCCATTTAACTCAAATAATGACTTTTGGTCATTTTTTTTAGATTGGAACAGGTTGTCCATTCAAATAAATGGTCGAACCGCTGACCCAATAGCCAGTGGCCAAAGCGATTCCAATTCTGCCTGAGTTTTTAAAACATTGATTAAAATTTTCACAAAATATAAAAATTTATCAAAATAGAAAATAAAAATATTAAAAGAAAATAAAATTCCGCAAATCACAATAGACCATACTTTTCAATGAAATCCAAAACTTCTACAATAAATTCCTCCTCATAAAACCAGATGCATTGAATCTTAAAAGATTAAGAAAGACGAATTGTGGTGACCTCCTCATAAAACCAGATGCATTGAATCTTAAAAGATTAAGAAAGACGAATTGT